AAAGGACCTAAATAGACACCTTTCAAAAGAGGACATTCAGAAAGCCAAGAGACATATGAAAACATGCTCCAAGTCACTAATCATCTGAGAGATGCAAATCATAACAACAATGAGGTACCATCTCACACCTGTCAGACTGGCTATCATCAACAAATCAACAAACGACAAGTGCTTGAGAGGATGTGGAGAAAAAGGAACACTTGTGCACTGCTGGTGGGAATGCAGACTGGTGCAGCCACTATGGAAGACAGTATGGAGTTTCCTCAAAAAACTGAAAATGGAACTCCCATTTGACCCTGTGATCCCACTTCTAGGAATATATCCCAAGAAACCAGAAACACCAATCAGAAAGGATATAGGCACCCCTATGTTCATAGCAGCACAATTCACCATAGCTAAGATCTGGAAACAGCCTTAGTGCCCATCAGTAGATGAATGGATTAGAAAACTGTGGTACATCTACACGATGGAATACTATGCTGCTGTAAAAAGGAAGGAACTCTTACCATTTGCAACAGCATGGATGGAACTGGAGAGCATTATGCTAAGTGAAATAAGCCAGTCAATGAAGGAAAAATACCACATGATCTCACTCATTCATGGATAATAGAGGTCATTATAAACTTTTGAACAATAATAGATACAGAGGCAGAGCTGCCTCAAACAGATTGTCAAACTGCAGCGGGAAGGCCGGGGAGGGTTGGGGGGCAGAAGGTAGGGGGGAAAGAGATCAACCAAAGGACTTGTATGCATGCATATAAGCATAACCAATGGACATAAGACACTGGGGGATAGGGGAGGCTAGGGGACTGTCTAGGGCGGGGGGATAAAATGGACACATGCATAATACCCTTTGTAATACCTTAAGCAATAAATAAAAAAAAAATAGTATGAACAACTCTATTACCACAAAATGGACAACCTAGATGAAATGAACATATTCATAGAAAAATACAAGCTCCCAAAACTCAAGGAGAATTAAAAAACCTGTAAAGGGCTATATCTACTGAAGAAATTGAAGCTGCGATCAAAAATCTTCCAGCAAACAAAAGCCCTTGTCCAGATGGCTTTACAGGGGAGTTCTACCAAGCATTCAAAGAAAACTAAAACCTATCCTTCTCAGACTATTCTAAAAAATTTAAGAGGAAGGCACACTTCCAAGATCTTTCTATGAAGCCAACAGTACCCTAAACCCAAAACCAGATAAAGACACCACAAAAAAAAGAACTAAAGGCCAATATCCTTGATGAACATAGATGCTAAAATCCTCAACAAAATTCTAGCTAATCGGATTCAGCATTACATTAGAAAGATTATACACCATAACCAAGTGGGATTTATTCTGGGGATGCAAAGATGGTACAATATCTGTAAGTCAAAAAATGTGATACATCTCAACAAGTTGAGACACAAAATCACATAATCATATCAATGATGCAGAAAAAGCATTTGACAAAATCCAACACTCTTAATTGATAAAAACTCTCAGCAAAGTGGGAATAGAGGGGTCATACCTCTACATAATAAAAGCCTTATATGAAAACCTACAGCCAACATCATACTCAATGGGCAAAACTAAACTCATTTCCCCTGAGAACAGGAACAAAACAGGATGCCCACTTTCACCACTCCTGTTTGATATAATACTGGAAGTGCTAGCCATAGCAATCAGGCAAGAAGAAATAAAAGGCATCCAAATTTGAAAAGAAGTAAAACTGTCCTTATTTGCAGATGAATGATACTACACATAGAAAAAACCCAAAGACTCCATCAAAAAACTACTAGACCTAATAAATGAACTTGGAAATGTATCAGGACGCAAAGTTGACACCCAGAAATCTATGGCCTTTTTATACACCAATAATGAACTCTTAGAAAGGGAAAAAAAAAAAAAAAAAAAAAAACAATCCCATTTACCATTGCACCAAAAAAATTAAGATACCTAGGAATAAACTTAACAAAGGAGGTAAAAGACCTGTACTCAGAAAACTACAGGACATTGCAAAAAGAGGAAGAAGATATATACAAATGGAAGAACATACCATGTTCATGGATTGGTAGAATCAACATCATTAAAATGTCCATACTACCCAAAGCAATCTACATATCCAAGATGGGAAGCCATAAAAATCCTACAAGACTCTATAGGCAGCAAAATAGCAGACATATGTTATAGCAACATCTTTATAGACACAGCACCTAGGGCAATAGAGACTAGGGAGAAAATAAACAAATGGGACTACATCAAAATAAAAAAGTTTCTGCACAGCAAAAGAAACCATCAACAAAACAACAAGAAAGTCCACTGCATGGGAGAACATATTTGCCAATGATATTTCAATAAGGGTTTAATCTCCAAAATTTACAGAAAACTCATACAACTTAACAAAAGGAGATTAACAATCCAATCAAAAAGTGGGCAAAGGATCTAAATAGACACTTTTTGAAAGAGGACATACAGACAGCCCAGAGTCATATGAAAACACGCTCAAAGTCACTAATCATCCAAGAGATACAAATCAAAACAACGAGATATCATCTCACACCTGTAAGAATGGGTATCGTCAACAAATCACCAAAGACAAGTGCTGGAGAGGATGTGGAGAAAAAGCAACCCTCGTGCACTGCTGGTGGGAATGCAGATTGGTGCAACCACTGTGGAAGACACTATGGAGTTTCCTCAAAAAGTTAAAAATGGTAAACATATATGCACCCAATACAGGAGCACCCACTTCTAGGCCTACCAGTATATCCCAAGAAACCAAAAACACCAATCAAAACGGATATCACTGTACCAGTTAATAATGCGGATTTTGTAATCATGAAAACATGATAATTTCAACAGAAACATCAAAGGTGCTTTATTCAAAATAATGCCCATCGCTAGCTACACATTTCCCCCATCTTTCAGGTAATTTGTGGATACCGTCCCAATAGAACTTTTCTTGTTTTGAGGCAAACCATTCAGAGACCCAATTTTCCACTTCTTCGTACGTTTTGAAGTGCTGCTCAGAAAGTGCACATGCCATCTATCGGAACAAGTGGTAATCTGAAGGAGCAAGGTCTGGTGAATACAGTGGGTGGGTTAATACTTCCCAGGCAAGATCTTTTAATGTGTCTTTTACTGGTTTTGAAGTGTGTGATGGTGTAGCAAGTCACCTTGCTGTGTCTTCTGGCCCATTCTGGTCGTTTTACTACCAAAGCATGGTTCAAATTGATTATTCGTTGTTGGTAGTGATCAGTATTAACTGAAGACTTCACTGAACCCTTCTAGCAATTATGGTCTGAATCGCTCCATGATCTCTGGCCATCTTGAATTGTTAATTGGCCATTATATATAACCCTGACTTCCATCTCTTCATAGAATTAAAGTCTGATCACAGTACATTTGTAAACAGTAGAGGCTCCATACAAGTTTATAATGGTTGTAATTATTACAGCTACTGTTAATAAGTAACAAAAAACAAACTCGTACATGGGCATAGCTTATAATGATTAATGAGGAGGATAGATGGCATTTGGTCATTTCTAGAGATAGAAAAGCAGTTAGACCTGGAAGAAAGGACAAAATATCCTTAATAAAGTAAATGCAAGAACAGATAAGGCAAAGGAGACAGAAAGTTGTGATCTAAAACTTTCAGAAAAGGAGTCTGGTAGTAAAGAGCAGCACAGAGTATGACTTTACTACAGGGGTTCCTGAGCAAACCTCCTTATATCATAAAGTCTCAGTTTTCTCATCTGCAAAATGGTCATAACGTTGCCTAAAGTCTGCACAGCAGTTGTGAGGATGCGAGAGAAACTTAGTTTACCACTGCAATTCTGGTCCTGGCACAGGGCATTGGACTTAACTTTGTGTTTTATATGCATTGAACAAAAGTAATTATGTAAATTGACAAAACCCAGGCACTTAAAAAATGTGAGCCATTATTATTAACTGAAATGAGTACTTGTCAGATTTTCCTCAGATGGCAGAGAAAAATAAACAGATGCCCTTAATGATTTATTTGACATTTCCATCTATATCGAGGAAGAATATAACATGCCCACACTTGTTTTAATACAAAAAACATTCCCTCAAATTTTAAGAAAAGTGATGCTCAGAGAAGATGTACAGTCCTGCAACTTCTTATACTTCTCATGGTTCTGCAAGGCTGAATAGGCACAGAGGTAAATTTGTAAGAAAAATTTCACATTTAGAGAGTTGTTATTATTATTATTATTATTATTATTATTATTATTAAATAATAGCTTCCTACACACCAGAAAATGTTGGGTTCTGACAAATTTCAACTCAATGCAAGCCACGAGTACTTTATATTGGACCTACCAGTCTAATTTTAACAAACTGAGAGACATACAGACAATTGACAGTTGGCTCAGCTTAAGATCACAGGTCAGAGGTAGAATCTCTGCTGATCAACATCAAGTGCTGGCGTGAAATCAAAAACCTTCCTAAATATATTTCCATAAAGTAGCAGGAGATCTTATGTTCTGAAGGCAATTTATGCATTTTATTTAGTAACCTAACCAACATCCTGAAACGATAACTTCAGAGAGAGAACTCTAATTTGATCACTTATTCTCCTTTTAAAATCCTTCCTGGCTCCCAAATCCCTCCAAAGTAAAATCCTAACTTCTGAGAACAGTTTACAGTTCTTGAGCTCACCTGGGTCACTGGCATGTCCTTCTGCATCTCAACTGCCCATGTACCCTGGATGTCAGTGGTATTAAATAACTCACAGCTCCCTAGACTGGCCACTATCTCTTCCATCCCATCCTCAGTTCCCTGCAGGTACTTTTCCTGTCTAGAATGACTTTCTCCCACTTCATCTGACTAGACAATTCTCATTATTCTTTTTTCCTCTATTGCTTGAATTCTCAGCTCTAGCTCTACCTTCTCTGTGAAGTCCTTCCTGACCACCCAACTCTTGCCACACAGGGAAGTAAGGTTTGCCCATCTCTCCTTTTCACCCTCTGTGTACTTCTTGCTGTGCACTTACCCTGGCACTGGAATTTTTGGTTACTCTGCTTTCTGGTTCCTTCCTCAGGCATTGTCTTTGTATATCCTGCACCAGCACAATCCGAAGTACCTCAAGGGGGCTTGGTTAATGTTTGCATGGCAAACTGAAGAAGCTTCCAGCACAGAGGCTCAAATAAATTTAGAGTAAGGAGTCCTTCCTCTCTGGTGTTTCCGGCCATTAACAGTGGAGAAGAACCTCACTGCTCCCTAGTGACCCATGAGGCATCAGCTAAGAATCCAAGCCTCCACACTTCCTTTCCTTATTGTTTACTTTCACATTTAAAAGGAACACCATGGATTTGCATCACAGTCTTAAAATCAAGTCACAGAGAGAAAGGATTTTTTTGGAACAGAAAGAACCACACATTTTCTAATGAATTAACCAACTAAGTATAACTAAAATGTAAGGTGGAGTATGTCTACGTCTCCACATAATCAACAAAGCCTTTAGGTAGTGAACAGAACTCTCTACTCATAGAGAAATAGCTCGAGTTCCTTATAATTCCAATGCTTAATATTTTATTTAAAACTTCCAAATTTTTTCTTACATGCCCTTCAATTCATAAATATAGTTTAAAAACATTCTATAGGTGACTACTAGTAGCAAAGTGATGTTTCTAAAAGACTTCCTTTTTGGTACAAAAAGTACCCTCACAGAATCACACAGTTACTAATGAAGCCATGTTAACAACCTCTTTTAAATTCTCTGTCAAATGCGGTTTCTCCTTACAGTCTAAAAAGTATACTATTAACTACATATTCTATAAACTCATTTGTTTCATAACACAGTAATGGCATTAATTTAGAGTATCTGAAATTAATAATCCCAAGATAGTAACAATAATGAAAATTTTCATACATCTTCGAAGTTTACCAAATTCTAGGTTTTAAGATTATCTTTGGCATAATGGTTTCTATTAGGAAAGCCCAGAGAACACTAAATTACCAATAAATTCTTCCAGAAACCTCTAATAAAACTTCTTCAAAGACTTACAACCATTCTCCTTCAGCATCCTATTGGTACTTCCTTCCAATCACTCTGTGAACACTGATGGGAAACAATTCAGGGGAGGGCTTTGAGATGCTTGTCTGGGACAGTGGGGAAGTATCACACTAATGCTGATGTAATTGTTATTTCAGAAATTCTAGCCCCGATCACTCTCCCTTCTGGATCTAGTCTTCCCCGACTATCCACTCACCTGACACGAGGGGGACCATGAGTCATTTCCTGTCCATTAAACTTGTGGCTAAACTGCCCCTTCTGTAACAGCCTTAAACTGAGGGGTATGATGAGAAAGACTGAGAGTAAGGGTGTTGCCTGGAAGGCAGGCAGAGGGGAGAGAGGGGTTCCACTCCATCTATACTGGAAAGGGAGGTTCCCAACACTGCCAACTCTTGATTTTGAGGGAGATAATTATTGCCACCACAGTAATTACCTGAATTGTGCAGTATTTAATACTTGATTTATCTCCAGGATCCTGATTCAACTTTTCACCTTTCCACTGCTTATTTGTAACTAGAAAGACTGAAAGTTAAAGAAATAAAAAGCAAATTCTTCAATTGCATATTTATGAAAAGTCTGGGCAAATTTGAGACCTATTTAAAAATAGTGGTTGGATATGCTTCTATTTTATTGAGACCAGTATTCTTTTTTTTTGTCACTAATATTAATAAATTGGATGTAGTATACTAGTCTTAGTTATTCAGGTCAGTTTTTTCTTTTGTTTTTTAACCCTCACATCGAGGACATTCTTTCATTGATTTTTAGAGAGAGTGGAAGAGAGAGGAAAAGACAGAGAGAAATATCCATGTGAGAGAAGCACATTGATTGGTTGCCTCCTGCACGAGCCCAACCAGGGCCTGGGCCAGGGAGAAGCCTGCAACCAAGATACGTGCCCTTGACCGGAATCGAATCTGGGACCCTTCAGTCTGCAGGGTGATGCTAGCCACTGTGAGCCAAACCGCACTAGGGCATCCAGGTCAGTTTTTAATAAAAGACTTTTTTTACTATGGTGAATTAAGATTGTGGCAGAGATGAGCTTAGTATTTTACAAACATGTAGGTCAGGGATAGGGAACGTCCAGCCCATGGGCCCTATAATGCCTGAGAAATCATTTGGTCTGGCCCTGCCAAGGGATTAGGGGTGAGTTAATTAAACGTTGGGCCAAATACAGCAGGCTAGTTTTTAAGTTGATAATTTTGTATGGCTTATAAATGATGTTATAAATATCCAAAGAGCTCTTGGCAGAAGAAAGGTTTCCCATCCCTGATGTAGGTGGACTATGATTTGCAGGTGCTCCCCCCCCCCCCGCACCCCCTCCCTCCCCCCCCACACACACACACCTGCCTTATGTGAGGCGGTTCTATGCAAAGGCACCTGGGTGATCTGCCATGTGATCTACCAATCCCCTCTCCTCTCTCCACCAGTGGATGTCCCAGTGCTCAGGTGACCTCAGAAGTTGAAGGATGAGGTGGGGACTTTTGAGTTGGCTTGGATCTAAAGCAGAGTGTCTTGTCCTCATGTGCATGCAAAAAAGAAACTTTTAGTTGATTGATAATATATTTAGAGGACAGAGACTGCAGCCTTATTTGATGTTGAATCTCCAATGGCCACCTATGCCTGGAAAAGACTAGGTATAAGGCCTATGTTTATGGAATAATGAATGTTTAATGAGTCACATGGTATGCACATGAAAAATTATAATGCACACAGAGAGTTAATGCTGAGAAAAATTTCTGGTGATTCTCACACACACAAACATACTCAACTTCCCTCTAAATATTATTTAAAAACTGTTGATTATTATGCCCATTATTGTTCTCATGGAAAGATTCAAATTTTTAAAAATATACTTTTATTAATTTCAGAGAGGAAGAAAGAGGGAGAGAGATAGAAACATCAATGGTGAGAGAATATTATTGATCGACTGCCTCCTGCACACTGGGGATCGAGCCCGCAACCCAGGCATGAGCCCTGACCTGGAATCAAACTGTGACCTCCTGGTTCTTAGGTTTATGCTTAACCACTGAGCCACACAGGCCAAGCAATCCAAACTTAATATGTACTACACTAAGATAGATTGTGAAACCATTTTTTAAAAAGGGATTCAATTTCTCTCCCCACCCTACCCTAAAAATAAACCTGGTCTCAATTGACTGAACAGGTTTATTTTACTGCTCCTCAGTTATAGCGACTCAAAATGCATTTAAAAAAACACTTTGGGGCCATCCAGACTTTTTTTTTAATATATTTTGTTGATTTTTTATAGAGAGGAAGGGAAAGGGATAGAGAGTTAGAAACATCGATCGGCTGCCTCCTGCACGCCTCCTACTGGGGATATGCCCACAACCAAGGTAGATGCCCTTGGCCAGAATCGAACCTGGGACCCTTCAGTCTGCAGTCCGAGGCTCTATCCACTGAGCCAAACCGGTTAGGGCGGGCCATCCAGACTTTAATGGCAGATCTGTCAAGGAGATATTGATGGGGGGTAGGTTTGCCTGTTCCATGTTCTCTTCATAAATAAACATCTTGCCCTTATCAGACTAGTTTGTGAGTCCTTGAACATGATAAATGGTAAAATACTTTGCCTTAAAAACAAAACCCACAAATCCTTTTTTACATTATTTCAGGCTAAACTTGATTTCTAGGCTTATGACTATAAGTGATATTTGGTGGCTCATTTTCACACTATGTGTGACTAGTTACTGGGACAGATATTCTGTGTCTGCAAGGATAAGTCAATGATTCCACACTTTATATTTATGCTTCTCTCTTGTCATTTAAAAATGTTTCTTTCTTTTCTTTTTATTATTTAAAAAGTAACACAATGAATAGCTTGATGCCTCATAAAATCATAAGGAAGAGTTAGAGATCAAGATTTTTTAAATTCCTTTACTATATTTGCAAAAGGTGATAGCAGGCACATTTGTAATTTGGTTGTAATCGCTAATTTTAAGTACTATTGCAAAAATGATGATCCCAAACCTAACAAGATTTATGTTATTTTAAAATTTAGCTTCTCAACACTTTTTGGAATAAAACAACCTTCTCACTCTACTAGGTACCTTGTGATCACCCACTAAGTTCACATAAATATTTGATTAAAGTTCCTTGTGGCTAATAAATGCCTAGTTGAGCTTATTTTGCTCTGAACCTGTTTTATTTTAAAATATTTTAAGGATTTACTGAGATAGGCATGAAAGCAAAACTCCACAAGTTTTTAAGCATGTGGCTCTTAGCACTACCACTACCACAATAGATAAAAAATTGCACCCATTTCTCAATGTAACCAATATAAATTACATACTCTTACAAAAAAAATAAGCTTTCAAAACAAACAACAAAACTGTTACTGCAATTCATTATCATACTCGAGCCTCCAAAAAGATTGTAGACTTTTGTAAACAGTTTACAAGGTACATTTATTTATTTTTAATTTTTTAACTCCTCACCCCAAGGGCAGAGAGAGAGAGAGAGAGAGAGAGAGAGAGAGAGAGAGAGAGAGAGAGAGAGAGAAAGAAAGAAACACTGATCCATTGTCTTCCACATGCTCCCCAACTGGGGATCAAACCCACAACCCAGTTATGTGCCCTGAAGGGGAATCAAACTGGCAACCTTTTGGTGCACAAATGATGCTCAACTAATTGAGCCAATCAGGCCAGGCAAGGTATAGTTAATTTAATAAGTTATGACATGAAAAAAACTATATACACAATTTTCAACTTTTAAAGTGTATTTTCTTTTGGGAAGCTTTGATGATTGGCCCACTGTGAATTATTAGATAGTAAATAATTTATGAATGCTTTTATTGAATTTTACATAGTCATCTGTTTGTCATTGTCTATTTATTGTTGCCAAGAGTTTTATAAAAATTTCTTTTTAATTTTTTTATAGAATGTATATACACAGGAAATTAGAAAAAAACAAGATCCTATAGAAGGCAAAGACTTTTACAGAATAGGTTGCTGCTCCAAAGGAGAGACAAGAGATGCCAAATGAAGCAATAGGACAAAGTGACCAGCTAGCTGTGTAACTTTGGGCACAACACTTGAAACTCTCTAGTCTCAGTCTTCTTGCCAATAAAATGAGCTATATCCAAAATCCTATGATTTGTTAGATGAAGGGTTATGCTGACAATATCTGAAGTCATTGAGGCCAATGTCCCCTTGGAAACAGTGTCACAAGATCCAGAGAAAATAAACTATGCCTCTGTACAGGCTACGTGAGTCTAGTCAATAGCCACACCAGTGCTTACGGAGTCCAAGAAAACTCACATAAATGTTGTAGAAAAATTCAGGTCCCTCCAACACTTTGTTGCTAGGACAGCATTGTTGACGAGCACTAATCCAAATACTTTATTTGATTGCATATTGTGGTATCTGACACAGCAAGTGAAACATCCTAAGAAACCACAGCTTTAGCTGCTGCGTCTATAAGCCAAACTAGTTCCTTTTTTCCATCTTATTCTTAAACGCAACATTTCTGATCTCAGTTTGTTTTGTAATTCAATTTTGATAAAGACAAAAATACAGGCGGGATTTGGACTGTGGGGGGTGAATAAAGTGTATTTTTAGGTAGTCAGTTATTATAAAACAGTTATTAAAATGTCTGGGTAAATGACCTCACACTGCACTTAGCTGGCAAACCAGCCGGGTAATCTGGCTCTTGGTGCACATGGCCTTGGACTGCTTTCTCTGAAATCAAGTTCCAGGAATCCGTGACTGGAGGTTCTCTGTTTTGCAGCAGTTCCCACAGCACCTGATACTGTCAGGCACATGGTGGCCCGGTAAAACGTATTGACAACTTGTTGGGAATAACTAGTTGTTATTGAAAAAGCAAAACAAAAATTCTAGAGCATGTGAAGGCTTTAGGCATGTTGCTGTTTGGAGATTAACATTTGCTGTAATTGGACTATTTACTAAACAGGGAATAAGCTATGTAGAGGCTAAAACAGCACATTGGTAACTTTGCTTCCATTATTCCTTAATTTGTTAATCATATCAGCACACCTGTTAGTGGAATTTGTTTTCTTTGAAATAAATATTATCACTAGAATATTGTATTTTTAAATGCATATTCATGAGTGTTCTCCCTGATATAAATTGTATGAGGAGGGTTTATAAGACTTACAAAATGCACTCAATTCTTGCTTTAATTCTCTTTAATGACATTCAAATATTCTTCTAGAAGGTATCTGCATTGTCATCGTTGATATCATATGCCAACCATAATGTTAAATGCTGTATGCTTTTATGTACAATGGCTCATTTAATCCTCACTACAACCTCTAAGAAAGTATTATTGGCCCTGTCTTATGCAGGAAGAAAGTGAGACTCAGAGAGGCTAAGTAAGATGCTAAGGTTAAACAATGGGGATGCTACCAGTAAAACCAATGCAGCTCCAATTCTGTCCTCATTCATAGCTAAATGGGAATAAGTAGGTAAAAAAACAAAGCTCTTCCAAATACTTTTGAAAAGAAGGTAG